GAATACATTTTGGGGCATGTAATCTGTAATCTGTAATGGAATACATTTTAAAAGTAACCTTCCCAACACTGGGTATGAAGTAGCTGAGGTCCTTATAAGCATCCCCAGCAGCTCTTCTAGAGAACTCCACCTGTCTGGGTGAGGATGAAACACTCCACCAGCCCATCCACACTTTTACATCGACTTCACTTGTTTTATTTAAAAAAACCACAACAAAACAAAAAAAGAAAAGGAAAAAATAAACTTTATTCATAATTCTATGAGTGATTGCCAATTTGAAGCTAGACGCCACAAACAGCCAGATGCATTTGAGACAGCGACCTGAAAGCTCCTGGCTGCGGCTAAACAGTCTTTGTAGGACGATGACAATAACAACACCCATCTGCATCAACTGAAGACTAAAAATAAACATTGAATAATGTGAAAATCTGGTTCCACACTTCTGGACTCTACTGATCACATGCAAATACGACACTGCAGTCTTACAGTCTTCATGCAACAGCTCCCTAAACCTCGATGCCTACAGTCAGTCTGTCCTCAGACCACCCAGAATAAAAGCTGTTTGAGCTCCTCTGTTGCCACAACAGGTTGCTCAGATTGTTGTGATTTGTTACACCGGACGTCCTTCCTGATGATTCGTGTTTACTCCTGGGAATCACATTTTGCTCAGGTGTAAACTTCTACATCATGCAGCTACAACCAAAGCACCAAGAATAATAAACACCAGCAGAAACCCCAATGACTAAATGAATGGAAATATTTCAATAGCACCAAAGAGCAAAAACAACTAAATATAACAACGACTCACGAGGCCTCTCCGAGTCCCTGTTAGTAAATTAGTTTTTAACAGCTGATCAAAATATTGATTTCTTTTGTCCTAGAAACATCACAGCAGGAAGTCCGTGTTTAAAAGAATCAGCACCTCAACATCGTACGAACGGTCAGAATCTTTAACACGGGTCGAGGAACGGCCGCAGTCTTTCGTGCTCGCGTATCAACCACAGATCTGGACAGAGTTACTCAGTAGAAAGCTTTAGATGTTCTCAGACCATCACTGAAAAACACAAGACGTTTAGTTACATGTTGTTTATTGCACAGAGGTTTTTTGAATGCTCAGTTCAGATAAAATTATTAAAATCCTGACTCTTGAAAACAAAAGCAATATTTTTAATTCATTATTAAGTTAAATTTGCGTCTCTGAAAATGCAAATAAACCCTCGTGCTCCCTATTTTCTCTTGATTCAGGACACATGGCATAAAAACAGAGCGTCTCATGATTTAAACTCCAGCTGGGTAAGTATGTGTGGAGGTTCATGTTCCTCTTGTGCCTGCGGGGTTCTCAATGGTTCTCCAGGTTCTACTCAATTACACTAATTGCTGTTTGATCCTGTTAATGAACCTCTGCAGGGCTCAGTCTATATAACCCTGAATACTGGAAATGAGACACACACACACACACATCAGGGACACACACACACACACACACACCTCCGTGGATACATCAAGGGCAAATCAGGGTTCAGTATGTGGCCAAAGGACGAGAGTAGAGGGATCAAACCACCTGATTGGTTAATGACCGACGCTACTTCCTGAGCAACAGCTGCCCCAAACTAATTATGGCTTTTTTTTTTAAACTTGTACTGTTTTACTTGTGTTCTTTGTTTTGTATAATGCTTTTCATTATTCTTTTAGCTGTAAAGCTTTGATCAGTGGCTGTTGTTTTTAAAAGTTTTAAAAAGCTGTTTTTTACTCGTCATTTACTCGTTATAAATAATGAGTAAAAAAAAAAAAGACCACATTTTGCTGGACTCCGTTTCACTTTTCCAGCACCTGCATGCTTTGCTCTGCCACACTGGCCCACCTGAGCCGCTGAACAGCTGGGTGTTGATGGGATTATGGGCAGAAACTTTGTCCACAGATCCTGTTTTCAGAATAAACAGCCTGCAGTCGCACAGACAATACCTCCTTCCTCCCTGCAGGTCTGATCGCTCTGAGAGCGTGCAACGCTCCTGCTGCTTGAGATCCTGATCCTCCCATTTCCACTGGCAAGGATTCAAACCCCCACAGTCTGAGCTGCCTATTAGCCATCTCATCAGGACAACACTGGTGGCTGTAAGCCACGACTCTATGGTCAAGTCTATAGAGGTAGACAAAATTAGTTTACAGCAAGAAAAATACACAGAAGCATGAGAGTAAATGTTGCATAAAGAGTCGTCAGTGTCACTCTGACAGCAGCAACCACTGATAATGTCAAACAGGACTTCATATTAGCTGCTTCAATGCAGACACGATGAAGCATCAGTGGCTGCGTCCTTTGAGCGTCACATTTGAAGATTAAGTCACAACCAGGAGACGAAGGCGGTCCACATGCGTTCTTTTCCCCAGATTTACAGGATGCACCAGCTCCACCCTGTCCCAATATTCAGTGCACATCAGTGATTGAAGGATATTTGGGGAAAATAGGAGCCGATCCAAGAAACTGGTCCAGTTTCCAGGTATAAACTAATAAACGTCAGTACTGAGCTTTTATCTCACTCAAACGTCCAAAATACAAAAATAACGAAAAATCTTTCAACATTAAATTTCAACATTTTAATTCAGTCCCATATGCTGTGGATGGTTAGTTAGTTAGGTTAG